GCGCTTGCGCCAAAAGAGGGCTTTTTTGAGACCCCCCCAAAATTTCATAAATCATGTTTTCAGGGGAGCCCATGTCTTATTAAGGGGAGCCGAGCTCCCCCTAGCTCCCCCGTAGTTCGCACCCTGCATGCAATGCAACAAACACATTGAATTAAATGTGTAATTTTGAAGTAGAAAGACTAAACATACTCTAGTAATCTGTTTTGTTTACAACTTCAAAAAAAATATATTTTTTTTTACAGTGTATCAAAATGTTGTAAAACTATGGAGAACATGAGGAAGAGTAAATAACGAAAGAAGCTTCATTTTTGCATGAACTACTTAAAACTAGAACAAATCGAGCTAAAACCAGGCAGAAACTCGTCCGTTTTTTCTTCATGGTACCACCTGGTGGCACATTCAGATCGCAGAGCTCCATCGTTCAACGTGTGGACCCAGAAAGGAAGAGAAGACGAAACCTTCACCTTTTTCAGGACATCCTGAGACCCTGCGCCTCCCTCCCCACCCCGCCCCGCTGGCCACTTCACCGGTGCAGGATGGAGCACGTGGGCTCCTGCTGTCAAAAACAGGATACACACTCACCGCACGGCTGAGAAACAACGGTTAATAGGTGGGAAAAGAAGGCATGACGGAGGAAGACCAGAAGGATATGATGGAACTGTAGAAGGATTTGGGATGTTGTGAGAGAAAAAAATCCAGAACTGGGTGAACATCAAGTTTACTTCTGCTTGTGAGAAGTTTTATCTATGAGCTATTCAACTAAAAATGTAAAGAATATTTCACCCAAAAATGAAACGTTCATGTTTATTTTCTAACCCACCCTTTTTCTGCATTGTGGACACTACAACCTGTTGTATTGAAAAGAGCTTTAGAATTCTTCAGAAATTCACCATATGACTTTGGTTTTAAAGTAAATGAGGACAAAATGTAATTTTTTTTTTTGGTAAACTATTCTTGTAAATCAACTCTAAAAACATGCGTTGCACGTCTCCAAAAAACCTGACTAAGAGGGAAAAGAAGCAGTCCTGTGACTGGGTCAAACACAGTCTCCAGTCGTGTAGAAGAATGGTGAACAAACAAGACAGAGCGAATGCAGCACGGGAAAGAGCGACTGGAAAAAGTGTCACTGCTAGCAAATGTTGAGCTTGTATTTAAAAGCCACATCAGTATGCAGTATCACACATTCTGATAACATCTCAGAGATGCTCCTCAAACATCTTACACAACTAGAGATGAGAAATACACACTTCCACTAACATACAAACACAACCCTCATTTCTACAAAGCCCACCTACATTTTTTTTAGTCAAGCGCAAACTTTAATTATCACATTGCCTATGTCAGCAGTAAAATTAAGTTGGCTTGCAAGTTCTTTTTTTTTCCGCAGTCACTCTTCCAAACACAAATACAAACTTTTAAGACAGTCTTAAACTTCAGCATTTAAAACCCAACCTGAAAAAATGTGGTTCAACTGTAGAGAGGTGATATTTGTCACCTCTTACGTACAGTGACATAAACGGACGGCTTTCTGGAAAAGGCGCTTCCCCCAAGCTTTCACTACATTTGCTTTCTTTGTAAGCGATGAATGTTACATTTCTGTGATTCTTTGTTAGTGATGAGTCAACTGTGAATCTGAGAAGGAACTAAACATGTTATTTCGCTTTCATTGAAAAGCTCAGGTGTCAAGCAGCGTGGTTAAAAAAAATGGTCTGAGAATTTGACATTAGTAAGGAACTATTTCTTGTGTTTGTGGTCTAATTGTACTAAAAATCTAAATTTGTAAAGTCATCTACATGTAAAAAGAATAATAATGATTTCAAATCTCATCTCTTATTTCCCCTTTCGAAAGGGGACAGATAGACAGATAACACTGAAGCATATTATTATCTCTCTTTTTAGTACAGATTTTGCACACTTAACATGGTAGAGATAATCACAGTGGTTTTTGAGAACCTAAATACATCGCTTTTTTAATGTAGATCATGTGTAATAATGAAAAGGTCATAAAGACATCAACCTGAATGTATTTTCAGACAATAAAAAAGATCTCTCAGCACTACACCTCGCGAACCTCAAAATAACTGTCATTATCCGAGTTCCCCAGTGCAATCTGTGGACTGTTTGTGTGAGTGTGAATTAATAAATAACAATCCTTGATTAATTTGTAAAGAAACAAATCATGATGCTACGGCGGTCTATTAAAATATCAACCCCGCAGGAACACTACGCTGTGTTCTCAGAAGTCACAGTGGAGGCCACTGCAGTTCATGCAAATAACTGCGGGACTATTTCCTGGTCACATTCATTACACCTGAAAGCGACCTTACTGTATTAGAATGACAGTTTATCCGACTGTAAGTGAACATAGCAAGACATTTGTATTTTTACACATGACAAACAAACAAATGAAGCCCACACAAATCTGTTGACAATATTTGCACTGACGTTATTATTCAGATTAATGTAAATAATTAAACCGAATGGAATATTACATTTACTGTGGCTTTTTTATATTTCTAGTGCAAAGACATAATAATTAATTATTTACATATGAATTCAATGTATTAAAACACTTCTGTAGGAGATTAAAAACTTGTATTAAAATATTTTATACAGTGATTTAAAAGTATAGTAATTAATGAAAACCTATGATTTCGTGTTATTATATTATTTCTAAACTACTAGCTTTACAAATTTTTATCAACTTGTTTTTTAATTAACCAGAATTAGCCACAGGAGTATTTTTGAATAACTTTTGACTATATTTTCCAGATTCTACAACCTACAAACTAGAGCCATGGGAACATTTCTGTTACCTGAGCAAGATTTGAATAGTGCATGTTTGTCTGCTTTTCTTTGTCTCCTTTCGATTTTTTACGTCATTCAGCACAATTCTTTCCCTAATTTAAACAATTATACATTCAGGGCATAAATCCACCCTGCAATTTGCCCCTGAAAATTTTATATGAACAACTTTGTTTAAGCTCACACCCAAACCAGCATATTCAGTCCAAATCAAAGTCATGTTGAAGCTTGCATCACATAAAACTTCACCTTTTGCCCATCACATGCTTTAATAAACCCGAGAACATGCTGCAGAACAAACACACATGCTAAATAAATTCAAAAGTCCAGTCACAGCATGAAGGATCAAACCAGTTACTCAACTCAAAACAGATTTAAGACTTACAGTTTTCTATAATATAATATAATATAACATAACATAATATAATATAATATAGGTTGAAATTTTCAATTAAATATATTTTATAAATGGAATTTGGCGCAAAATAATACTAAATCGCATAAATGTGCTGCCAAAACTAAATAAAATATTAAAAAATAGAAAAATAGATAGCACTAAAAACAATTCAAAAAATGTAAAAGCATGAAAACAATGCAAAACAACTGAACACAAAGCACGCAAGTTTGCAAAGCAAGTCTTACCTAAAGTGTCTGAGTTGACTGTTATGACAAAACACAGAGAGGGATGCTCGTTTTGATGGGCGGCTGTCAGATTGTGTGCTGAAATTTCTCTGTTCTAATGTTCTAATGGAGGTCTGTCTAATTTCCGCTGTGGGTCTGAGCTCATCTCATGGTAAAGAGGGTAGGTGGAACAAAAACTGGAGGTTTTTGGGAACATGTAGGCGAAGAGTGGCACTTTCCAGTTTCCACCTCTCACGTGCGGAAAGCACTTTTACCATTTCGGACAAGATAACTTGCGATTAGGGATTATTTATAGAAGGTAACGTGCTCACGTGCTAATGACTTAAGATGGATCGACAAAAATGTGTACAATATAGTAAACGTTTAAGACAGCAAAAAAAGTGCATTTTTCTAACTTCTGACATGCATTGCTTAGAAACAATGATCAACAGCATTTAAAGTTTAAAAAGGAAACCATTTTTGAGAAGATAACATGCTGTTACAGGGTTTTTTTAATAGCAGGTCTTCAGTGTTCCTAAACATTATGAGCAAAACCACCGTAACAAAACTTTGACTAGAAGTAAGCTGGCATTTACAAAACATGCAAAGATTTACAAAGTAATCTAACATGTTTTAGAAGTTTTAAGATCTTTACATACAGAATTACAGTTCATATTTCTGACAGGGCCCCAAAACACTGAGCTCTTTGACTCCAAACTCAAGCGGCTGAACATGACGCACTCAAAGCGTGAAGATGATTTGATGGACAGCCGCTATGATCGAATGCATTTATCAGTGTGAGCTTCTCTGGCCTGCTCTGTTTGATTTCATTGATGTTGTGGCGAGCCCTGAAAAACTCACTTAACAAGCTATTGTTGTCTCTCTCTCATCAAACCCCGGCTCAATAGGACAAATGAAACAATGCAGACCCAAACAGAAGAGGTCAAAGTTTGAATGAAAACCTAGCCTATGGGAAATAACATCACGAGGTTGTCCGTCCATCAGTGCTGCAAAAGTTTCAGCAGAAGTTCTCAGCGCAACTCTTTCAACTTTTTCTGCATCGTGCATTTTGGCTTTTTTTACTGAAATTATCCAGGTAAAAATATGACAGATGACCAAAAATGCAATGGCAATCCTGTCTAAAACAACTCCAAGTGTAGTTTTTTTAAGCATATAATAATTTTATATGAAGACAAAAGTAGTGTCCGCCTTGATATAGAAAGGAGTAAAGGAGAGATCAATATATTGGCCAGGCCAATTAATTTGATGATACTTGGCCACTTTAAAACAATGTTCATTTGGACAAATAATGGGAGTATTATTACTTCCTTGCATTAATTGGAAAATCCCAACAGCTTTATCAATGAATAAAAATTCTAATTCATAAAATAGTGTCAAATAAGTGGTCGTTTACTTCTCATTTCAGCTTTTCGCTGTCAAAACTGCATTACGATAATGACCATACTTTGATCCAGGTATCAATCATTGGAAAAATCAGTCGGCCACTAGAAACCAGAAGAGAACTAAAAAAGCTATTAAACAACTAATTTTCAGTATGTTTGCCTTCCAAAGAGCTGTAATGTAAATTTCAGCCTTGATTGTCAGATTAGAGCACCACAGAGTTTGTATAAATCAGCCTGTGAAGTGATCTGGGCTCAAGACTTTGCAGAGACCGGATGTATAGACACACTGAGAGCTAGAGAGAACCACCACTGGTTTCCTCACCTCTCAAACGGAGTACAAAGAGATGGGTAATAATGGAGCTGAAACAGAGAGGGATGCAAAGAAGGAAAATAAGGCATAGCGTAAACATAAGATGGGTAGAAGCGAGGGGGAAAAAAGCAAAAGGTCAGAGACTCCCTATTGACAGGCAGCTTTGTGCGCAGTCAGCCACTGTGAAGCCAAACACTCTCTGACACTTCACCAACTTCCCCTTTAATGATCCGTCGACATGCCCGCTCACAATGGAGGTGCACAACTCAGGTGCTGGATGTTCTTGACGGGATAAAAGCGGGATATGCTGCCTGCACTGGCACGACAGGCTTATTTAACCATGCAGACACAAACCGGGACAATAAAATGTCTACTTGGAGCTCAATATCAAAGTTTAACACCTATTCAGAGATTGCGCCACAGTCGGTCTGCCCTGAGGAGCTCTGCTTTCTGGTTATTCCGGAAGGCTGATATTCTTCAGCAGAGAGATCAACAGTTCACTTCACACAGAAAATCTGTCAGACCTGCCTGAATAGCAACTCTTAGCAAGTCTCAAAATGAAAAAAAAAAATAAAACGTTCAGAGCCAATAAAAACAGAGTTGAGTGTAATCCATTGAAATCAGATAAGTAACAACAAAGTCATATTCAACTACTGATGTACAGTGATAGACAGTTTTTATATTATTAATACATTTTATGAAATTATATTTGTGTGTGATGAATAATAATATCAAATTATATATAAAAAATAAGATAATATAAATAATTATACATTAAATAAATTACATTTAATGATTAATTTTTTTTAATAATTAGAAAACATATACATTGTTAGAAAACATATATTGTCAGTGCAAAATTTGTGTTCATTTAATTTCAGAAATTTTGTGTAATCTTATTTGCTGTCATTAAACTGTATAAATCAAAGCAAAGAGCCACCTGCTCTTTAGATACCGACATCAGCCATTGAAAGGCCCATACGGGTCAAGCATTACTAATGTGGGCTGCTAATTTCTTTAATTTTTCTTCATAAGAGCCTAAAATAAGTTCTTAGGTAATGCACCTTAAAGCAAAAGAATGGTCATTTAAGACCCATTAATAAGTATTCAGTTCACTTTCAGAAATGAGTGATTAAACAACCCAAACAAAGCAATCTGAGCAGACAAAAACATCAATTAAAAATGCATTTAATTGTTTTTAGAAAGTTTGTCAATATAAGCTCACCTCATATATAAGATAAAAACAAATATCTGCAAACGCTTGCTTCTTTTCCTATTCAATAACAGGCGTACAATTTCATGTCAAAATAAGTAGGAACTTCTTTGAAATAAAACAACTAAGAACTGCTTCTTAATGTACAATGGATTGCTGCAATGGCCTTGAGAGGACATTAAATACATTTTCAATCAATAGTAATTGACTGAGTACGCAATGAAAGCAGGTTGTCATTTCCTATCATACCGTATGAGCAAACATGCTGTTCTGACACACACACACCACAGAACACTTTCAGGTAAGAAACTAGTTCATTTGATACAGAAATATTAGTCACAGTGAGTTTTGTTTACTCTGCAGGTTCATAAAACCGGGCCATTTTGACTTTAAGGATGCATAAAACGCTCGCTAAGGTGATTCAGGTAGATGATAATGTGAATCAAAATCCTCGTTCCATTGATCTACTTCTGTTAGTTTGTTGTATCTCTCACTACAGACAGAAACAAACGTGTCGAACGTGCCAAACACTCGTGCGTAAAGTTTCAAACAAAGCGCCATTTGCCCACTTACCAACTCCAAAAGAACTGTGCGCTGCGCTTTGCGCTCCCCAAACTTTATTCCTTCAGTCTTTCCGTTGTCTCTGGGCCGCAGAATCGATAACGCCGCATGCAAAATGTGGTTTCCCCTCGTGTCAATGAATAATACGCCTCTGTCTACCAACGGCTTACAGCACAACCCGAGACTCCGAGCGCACAGCTGATGAATGCGTCGCACTCTCGCCGATCCAGCCTCCCTTCACTCCAGAGTGACTTTCTGGTGTTCAGTTTCCAACATTCTCGGTCCTGCTGCGTGTCATTCACCTCCCTCTTAAAGGGAAAGCTCTTCTTTCTGGGTTTCCCTTTGCAAAAGGAAAAATGCTGGGATCCTTGAAGGGGGAAAGAGAGATGCTCTATTCATGAGTACCTGCTGTTTCAAGTTCATCTTTAATATAATTTTATCATTTGGTTAATGTGGCTTTAATGCACACAATATGAGAAAATATCCACATAGAGTTTTGGAAAAACATGCATGCATAACATGCATTTTTATACTTTTTATTAAGAAAAAAAGTATTGTTAAAAAAATTTTATTTCAGTGTAATACTGACACAAATCTGAAATATGGCTGTAAATGATCTGTAATATGTTGTAAGGACTTTTTTCAATTTGAAAGTCCACTAAGTACCTGCAGTAGTTTCAAGTTAAGCTTTAAAGTTTTAATGTCATTCTATGCTTTTTAAAATGCAGCTTTAATGCACACAATTAAGAAAATATCCAAGTATGCAGCGTTTCAGAAAAGGCACATACACATTTTTATACTTTTTATTTACAAAAAAAAAACATTGAATTTCAATTTGAATCATTTCAATTTTAGTCTAATCCTGACACAAAAATATGGCGGTATATGATCTGGAATGTGTCGTATGGACTTTTATGAAACTTTAGTGCTTTTTGTAAGTTTTCAAAGCCAAAACTAACTAATTTTCATGGTTTGCCATGACATGAGAGTGAGTAAATAATGCTAAATGTATGTATATATGTTGCATGTCATCTAAAGAACTGAGAAAAACATTTATTTCATTCAATTAAGTCAGTAATTCAAAAAAGTGTGGAGGAAAAAATTTAAAATTGTATTCCTTTTTTAAATCAAGTGTGAAATATGCTATGACAGAAAAATAGCAGCGTGCCATGTGCATGCTTGCCAAACCTGACACACAATACTTAAACATTTTGAGCAAACCCTCAATTAAGACCTTTCCAACAGCAGCGTCATTGTACTAAAGTTCTCTGTAACGAGGGGCTACGTCACAGACACCCCGTGTGACATTTGCACGGGGACCCGTTAGCCAGTGTGAATCACCAGAGTCCTTCAAAGCACTCCAGACCTGTGTTTTTATGTCTCTTTCTGTCTCTTTTTCCCTCAGCGCACACACAACTAGCCATCGCCGCGCAGGGGTGAGAGCGCAAAGCCGATGTGCCATTTCTAATCCCCTCTGTTCCTGCCTTTGTGTAGTGGCCCAGCAGGAAGTAGGAGCTGGGCAGACAACAATTAACAAAAGAGCTGTGAAGAATACAATTAGCCATCAATAGGAAACCACAGGCCTTTGTGCC